TGTAACAAAACTATAATCTTTGTTTATCCGAAATCAGGTGATCTTCCCGAACTGTGATTTTCCTAGCAAAAGCCCCATTTATCATGTGATCTCGCGGACATCTATGTCTATGAACATCGTAAAAGAGTGAATCTGAGGTGACCAATGCTCGCAACCTAAAACACAACAAACCTCAGACTAATCGAAAAAAGGCATGAAAGATTTGGTCTGAAAACTGAGAATCCTACTGCCACTAGGGTTCTTGGAGCTTATCGCTACAATGTACATAATACTTATAATACTTTACTTCACTACACTATGCTATTTTTCAGTTACGACATGTATTCAATGATTATTTATGCATTACATATAGCCTTGGAGCTTTGCTACTATGTTAAGAGTCTCTAAGCAATATGACTATTTAAAGGGAGGAAGAGAATTCCATGACTACCGATGAGTAATTCATACAACATACATACATATAATAATATAAATAATATTAGGTTTAAATTTATAATAATACATTAATACTACTTTGTGAAGATTTTATATTTTCACGATCATAACAAAATATCCTAGATCTAGTTAATAATATAGTCGAGAGAAAATCCAAATAACAGATCTATTGTTTATCATATGATCTTGCGGACATCCATGTCCGCGAATATATAATAATATAATATATATTGTGTTTATTACAAAATTTAAATTATAAAATATAACTAAATAATAATAATAATGGTGTGATAATACTAACTAGCTTTAAAATTATTATTATTTATAATAGATGTATTATTTATCACATAATTATGCAGACATCCATGTCCACAAACATTGTAAAAAAGTAAACCTGAGGCGACTAGTGCTCGCAACCTAAAACACAACAAAACTCAGACTAATCGAAAAAAGGCTTGAAAGATTTGGTCTGAGAACAAGAATCCTACTACCACTAGGATCCTTGGAGCTTATCGCTATAATATATATAATATTTATAATACTTCACTTCACTTCACTATGCTATTTTTCAGTTACGACATGTATTCAATGATTATTTATACATTACATATAGCCTTGGAGCTTTGCTACTATGTTAAGAATTTCTAAGCAATATGACTATTTAAAGGGAGAGAGGGAATTCTATGACTACCAATGAGTAATTCATACAACGTACGTACATATAATGATATAAATAATATTAGGTTTAAACTTATAATATTATAATAATAATACTAATTTAAAAATATTATATTTTCGTGATAGTGACAAACTAGTTAATTGTCTGAAGCGAGGCGAAGGATCCACATTCTCAGCATTGCCAAAATTTTGTCTGTTTGTTCGCCCATGTGATTTGTATTACTTGATTTACCCATGTACTTACTAGAGTGCAGACTTGAATTCTGTCTGTCTGTCCATCATGTGAATTGTACTATATGATCTACCCAATAGCATCGCCATACGTACATACATACTAGAGCTCAAACTTTAATTTTGTCTGTCTGCCATCTATTGTAACACAATGATTATCTATCTTTGCTATTTTATAGTTGATTTTTTTTCGTATATATTATATCTCTGATAGTCAATTTTTCTTCATATATATACACATTACATACTTACTACTAAAACTATTTATTATTTTTTTTTTATCAGTATAAGATCACACTGATTCAAATTTTATGGTTTATATGGGAAACGCCAGTTGCAGAATTCGCATTTTTGCTGCAAATCCTATAATCATATCAGAATATGAATCAACGTTGCATAATCCAAAAGAAAAAAGTTATTAAATCTATTGAATTAGAGTTAAATGGTAAGTTTTATTGTATATTGATATTGATTCAATTTTATTAAAAATTTTAATCAAAGCTCAGAATCCAAAACATAATTTTCTGGAAACTACTCAAGAAGAGTTGATTACGGAAAATCAACTTTTTTTAAATAACTCAGTTGAAAGTTTTCTTATGAAAGATTTTGAACATCTATTTCTCAACAAAAATAAGGAAGTTACTTTATAGAATTACCGCGTTTTTTAAATAAAGATACAAATTCAAATTATGATTTTTTTAAAAGTTGGGTTTCTTTATTGAAAAACTTGGGTCGGCAAAATGAAAATCTTATATTTTCACAATATCCTAGATCCAGTTAAAAATTTAGGTCGTTAAGAGAAAATCTAATTA